ATTTCAGAAACGTTCGTATGTAAAAGTCTTGCTTCACCTAATTAAAATGTCAAAGTAAAATAGCTTTCAAATTAACGAATAAAATCGACAAATTTAAATAAAACTTTATTAATTCTCAACGTCAGTGTTTTCTTGATCATATCTGGCATTTTTAATAATACCGAGAATTCATTGCGAAAAATACATACCTCGGCCAGGGTTTGAACTCGGGCTTCCCTACACTCTAGGTGGGCGTCACATCAATACGACAACTGAGGCATGTTTATTAATTCTTCTATTTTACCAGAACTCGACAGATTCGCTCAGTATATTATAGAAATTAAGATATGAGACTCAGAACCATCTCGACTGCGCTACACAGGATCGTCGCACTTTCATTGCAGCGTTTGGTCAGAAGTCCCGCATGCAATTCGGCGGCGAGCATCACCAAAGACTCGTCGCGGCCATTAAAACACTGGCGATCGAGAAAGTTTGCGAATTTATCGCTTCAATCTTGTCCGGGAATATTTATGACCGGTCGACCGGTCGCGAAAGTTCGCTTCGTTTTCGCGCGAAACTCGCGCGTTAACACCAAAGCTCTCGTCCGGCTTTGTGATCGTCGCCATCGCATACACGTCTCCACCCTTGTACCGACCCTAGAAGCGACGCAGAGCCGACTGTTGTTTTTAGATACACGCGAATTGCACACGGGGGTGGTAAATCCGCGCGAGGACATCAGACCGAGCCGGAACTTGGCGGATAATGGCGAGCTCGCCGAATCCGCTCGCGAGAACTTGCGATGGCGCGTTTAAACTTTAAACGACACCGCCTTCGCTCATGCGTTTCACAAGTCGCTTATAGCGGAAGTTCGCGTCGATCGAGTTCGGTGTCGCGACGCCGACTTGTAAATGACGCGACTGTTATCGCTTGTAAAATTCATGTCGTTTATATACGTGGAGTCACGAAGTCGCTACTGACTTTATTGATTCGTTGCGGTCGACGTGGAATCAATCTTCCCTTAACAAGACACTCTTCAAACTTTTATATAATCTTTATCAATTACAGTAAAGTATCTCCATTTGGAATAATTTTCTATAATACGAAGTCGTTAATGAAGAATCTTTAAGGAGCTTAATAGTGCAAAGAGTCGAGAGAAGCTTAATCTTTCAAATTTAGTTTTAGACGAGTACATCTTTTGAGCTTACGTGTAATTTTTTTAACCTACTTTGAAATATTAAAGATTCTTAAGGTTGCCAGTAATAAATGACAATGACAACAAGTTTAATAGTAGCACTATTAATTTATATTAAACTTGGCCAATTAAGGTCGACATAAACCTCTCCGTCGCTACTTCGAAATGTATTCAATACACGATTCTTCAACCAACTTTCAAAATTTTGTACCCAAATATCAAGATTCCCAATTAAAATCTTGATTAGAGATTTGTATTTGTTTCGGAATTATGCATAATTAAGTACAAGAATGTGTATAGCATATTAGAATATCATATAAATTTAAATAAGGCGTATGTAAAGTTTTACTAATATTCCAAGAAGTTATTTCTTTTCTTATTAAACCAACGGAATTACTTGGAAAATAAATAGAGCGGGGTCCCGCCCAGGGACCTTTCGTTATGTGTAGGGTGAGAAGCCGAACACCCCGTATATGGCCCCTATTTTACATAGCCGAATCTCGCGCGGGTGGGCCATCCTTCGGATGGCCGGAGGGCGAGTTTCATATTCAATGAAATCTCGAGGCACAAGAAAATTGTAATCCGCCTCCATTACCGGCCGCCGCTTTGAGATGGCATTTAACTTTCCCACTCCCGGGGGCGACCGAAATTTCGAGCAGAGTCGACGCGAGCGCACATCCGGTGTAAATGAACGACAAATCCGGTGTGCTGACGTATTTCCTTGATGTCGACGTGTCCGTGTAGATCATATAAATCACGATTCGTCAAAGAAAGTCCTCGGTTACGGGACAGCATACAAATTTAATCGCAAGTCTTTATTCTCAACGATTACACGATCTAACAATGAACCGTTCACTAAGCAGATTTTACTCCAAGGCCAATAAATTCACGACGAAACCAATAGATGATGCCTGTTAATTTAACAAAGACCCTGCTCTTATATTAGCAGCTTATCGCATAATAGGGGACTTTTCTCTATAATATATATGGCTCGCGTGAGATGTCGAATGTTAACTTAAATAATATGCACAAGAGAAATATTGCGAGCACCCACGTCGATGGAAAGTCAAAATGAAAAAGAATTATACTTACATTGTCCTAATTTTTATTCATATTTTCTTTCAATGGGAAAAAACAGTTTTTTTTTTACTTATATCCTCTTAGAATTTAATATCTGAAAGTTCGAAAACTTCGTAAGAATTCACTTAAATCGCAGCTTAGCGCAGATTGATGGTATTTTTATGACATTTTTTTTAGACGTACACGCTGAGGAATGCAATTTATTGGAAGTGATTACTATCGCGCGAGCGCGCGCGCGCTCGTCCGATCGGTGCTTTTCATCTTTTATTTAAACGTTTAACTCACGTGCATACCAGACGTTACGATTGACGATAGATTGCTGATTAATAGTCTCACCGCAGTGACGTTGTCCGGACGTCCGCCAACCTCCGAGCTGAAAAGATTCGTTGTCCCTGACATATTTTCACCGTTTTCTCTTCTCCTATCCATTCTTCCTCTGTTCCTTACGAATTATGCGATAATCGACATAATATTGCAGTTTTTACCGGCGCGCTTATAGAGGAAAGTCCCCTATTACGAGATAAGATCCTAATATGGGATAGCGGGGTTTCTGTTAAATTAATAGGCATCGTCAGTTGGTTCTACCGTGAATTTATTGCCCTTGGAGTGAAATCTGTTTGGTGGAAAATTCATTTGTTAGAACGTGAAATCGCCGCGAAGAAAAGATTTGTGATCGAATTTGGATGTTGAAAACCTGCTATCTCATAATAGAGGACTTTCCTCTATTATTGTGAGCTTCTCTTCATTCTGAAGCATGTTCCTTCTAACGACAATGCACATTTTACACTGTCCCCTCGCATCTGCTGGAATGTAACGTGGTATTCCGTCGCTGCATCCATCTACAAGTATTAATCACATTAGTATTAAAGATATTAACATATTGGCGTTACACATCTTGTCTCATACTCTTTTGCTGTTTATTAAAATACTTTCTCCGTGTATATAATAATATAAATTGTATTACCTAACCGATAAAATCTGGCTTAGATTTACGTGCGTTCCAAACTATATTTCCAACATTTATATAATGAATTAATTTCTCTTCCCCAGACAATACAATATGTTTTTCCTCGAATGAAAGTTTCCTAAAAGATAATATTACTAATAAAGCTTTTGTATTTTTACTAATATAATGAATCTTATTGTGTCTATATCTGTTATTCTATTGTTTAAATTAATAATAATACTGATATGATTTTTATTCAAATTACAGAAGCGTTGCGTAATTCTTCGTCTATCGTAACGTCTACTTCATTTCTGTGTACCATAAGGTTTAATTTCGACTAATATTTATTTATGTGTCCGTGCGAAATGACGTTACCGCTAAAAGTAAAACAAAGCTTTGTCTAGAGATATCTTAATCGAGATGCTTCTAGTTGATGTTATGTGATAATCTTTTGTATATTCTGCATCTTTGATAGTCGGCTAATTTTCTAAGCTTTTCAAATTTAGTTTATTCAGATTATAAATTCCATATTTATTCAAAATTTATTCCGATTATAAATTCAATATTTTGCCATTTGTGGCCTTGAAATTTTTATTTCACTGAAAAATAAAAATATTTTTTTGTTTCCCGATTTATTAATTAAATAGAATACCGTGTTGAGTAATATAACATTATTTATAAATGTCATAGATGCTTGATTTTAAATTGTTCTTGATAATTAAATTGTCATGTTAATATTTCGAAAAATTTGATCTTACTTAAAATCGAGATAATTTTGAAAATTTCCTTGCACTAATAAGATGAAAATGAATACGTGTTGAGGAGGTAATAATTAATTGGCTAACACATACCGTCCAAGAAATTTGAACACGAATAAGAAAATTAACAAGGAAAATTTTACCTTTTTCTTTAATACATTACATATTAGTTTGGTATAATTATAGCAATTATATGATGTTTAATTATGTAATTGGTATCTTCAATAATATAAATATAATTATATTTGGTGCACATGGGTCTTTTATTGATGTACATGCTGTATAATACTTATTATTACTAAATATATTTGTAAACATAAGATTTTATATTCTCATAATACAGGTTCACAAAAGTCACCGTCGAATCTTTTATCCAATTTATAGAAAAGTCACTGTTTGTCGAAAGCAATCATGTCATGACAATGCTTCAAATCAATACGTCAACCGTATTGTTGACGATAATCCAGCATTTATGTTTATTCTAGTCTTGAAATTGTCAGTAATTTTTGAATCGTTAATAAAATCCAACCGCGAAAAGTCCATCATCTTTTTCGTTGCATGAATGACAAAATATAAGTATTAAAGTTTCTTGCATTGCTCTCTCTCTCTCTCGCTTCAGTTTATGCAATTTATACAGATCTTATACATATAATCAGGGTTGGAAAGTAACTCGTTACTTGTAACGAAGTTACAGTTACAGTTACTTCTTTTTGGTAACGCTAACTTAACTTCGTTACTTTCTCTACATCTGTAACTGTAACTTAACTCAGTTACATTTTTCCGATAATTAGTAACTAATTTAATAATTACATTAATAGTTACTTTATATAATTTTTCGACCTCCACAGATCACATTAGGCCTTGCATTTGCGCATAAACGCCTTTATCGCATCGCCGCTTTACAATTCAGATGCAGATTCGATATTTTTATTTCTATTGCAAGAGAGAGAAAAGCAACGATTCGTTACTTTTCGAGTAACTGTAACTGTAACGCGTTACTTTTCAGAATTGGTAACTTGTAACTGTAACTAGTTACATTGTTAGCGAATAAACTGTAACTGTAACAAGTTACTTTTATAAAGTAACTTTCCCAACCCTGCATATAACGTCATTATCATATAACATTTATCCTATGCATTTTTATTGATCATAATAGAAATATTATCTATTATGTACAAATTATGCCAAATGTTATAGACTCTGTCGATCGCGGGTCACGCACTCGTAAGTGCTGTCGATATATTTTTCCATTGGGAAGCCGTGGAAATTCGTCTATGAATTGCACTCCTCCGTAAAATTTAAAACGATGATCCTCAAAATAATTACTCATCAGTCTCAGCATTTCCATTTCCGTTATCTAGGACATAACGTGAAATTTTTTAACATTAAATTTTCATAAACACCTGTACTTTATGTGAAAAAAATAACTAGTTTTAAACCTGTGCTCCGGGCTTTAGCTTAACATAAGCCACCGGATGCTTCCCACCAAAATAGTCTCGCACAGATGTTATAATGACTTCAGATATCTCCGGATGGACCTTTAAGTAGCCCTCGATAATTTCTGCCCATATAACCTTGTCTTCGTAATAAATGTGTGTCTTATGTGTATTATAAATAAAGATTTGGTCACTCTCTCCATAGTAGCCATAACTTTCGGTATAGTACCACCCTGCAGTACATGCAACATTAATGTTTCTTAATTGATGGTATGTAATTGTTTGTACCTTCTGAATTTTGAACATAAATGTGTTAATGTCTAAATAATTTTATTATAAATTTATTGCGAGAAATATTACCTTAGCCCGGGTTTGAACCTGGACCTCCCTTTTCACTAGCCGGGCGTCTCACCAATTCGACCATGGCTGGTCGAACAAACCCTGGCTGAGGGGTAATATTTTACACAATAAATTTATAATAAAATTATTTAGACACTAACACTCTGTCACGGCTTTAAGTCCTTTATTCTTTCGAATTTATGTTTAACAAATCCGAGACTTATGTATTTATTCTGAATTTTAGCTATTTTACTAATTGTAGTAGTTATAAGAATAATTAAAAAAAAACAGTTACGGATTATCAAGTCAATAGTTCATCGTAACACATACGTTTTCTTGCATTGTGACATATTGGACAAGGTGGCATATACGGAGTTTTTACTAAGACTTTGAAAATTCGATCTGCAGTCCTAAATTCCCTGTCTTCAGTCATGAACAATACTTGAACATTCTTAGTTACGTAACCTATAATGTCATATAGGAATGGTTGATAAAAGATTACGCCAGTTTCTGGTTTACCTGAAATAGCCCATAATTCAGGAATCATTGATTTTAAATTTCAGCCTCGCACATACCTCATTTCATTAATTGTTAAGAGGATCCCTCAGTTTTTGCGCTTGTAATTCGTTTTATTAGCGTTTTTATGCACAAAATAATACCAGGATAAGTTGCAAACTGCACAGCAGAACATTTTCACACTTAAAACACTCAGTTTAGAAGTCTAGCAAAAAAGATATTGGTATTTGAAAAATTCAATTCATACTAAATTTGAAATTGACTTTATTAAATTGCAAAAATCGTCCACACGATTAAAGTACGCTTAAAGACAAAACCAGGGACTTTCAAATTTAGTGCGAACTATGAAGTGAAAATTTCAAATACCAATATATATTTATTAGATTTCTAACCTGAGTGTTTTAAGTGTGGAAATGTTCTGCTATGCGGTCCGAAACTTATCCTGGTATTATTTTGTGCATAAAAGCTAATGAAAGGAATTACAAGCGCAAAAACTATATTTGATTGTGTCAGTAAAAACGTTGAGGTATTCTCTTAATTACAAATGTAATTATAATAATATACACACTGTATACTTGAATGATAGAAATGTCTGGTTTCTCATCAAAAAGTTGTGTACAATAGTCGAACATATAAGTCATTATTATCGGAGTATCGAATAGCAATATTTTCAAGGAAGACAAGTCCTCTTTTGAAGGGCTGCTCGTTTTGTCTCGACACAGATTCTCAAACATATTGTTTTCAAGAAACGTCCATGTTACCTGCGAAGCGCATGTAAATGTTTTATTCACTTTTAAAACGATTCGGATGCTTCTATATATTACCTTGTACTCCCTGATTATCTTATAGAAATTGTCTACGCTGAATGTTGCAAATTTTATCGCTGTCACGTGTGAAAGTATAGCATGAACGGTCAAAAGCGAACCATGAGTCCAACATAAAGAATCGGACCACAGACCAACATCACCGGGAGACATAATGGGTGTCTGCTTGTTTGACGGAGATACAAACGCTATGTAGGGAACGTTCATCGGAGTATTATAACTGTGTGCAGAAGAAAAAAATGCCCTAATTGCGGTATCCGTCATAGAAACCTTCTCGCAGGTGAAATTGTCGATTTCGGCCTTATCCAAGTCATCGTCCAGAATAGCTTCCAGGGAGTTTAGCTTTAGTGCGCATTTTATCTCATTGATGGTTACGATTTTTGGTACTTTCTTAATATCCTTTAAGATTGTTAAGACTAAGATAAGCGTAACAAAGTTGTCGTCGTCAACGAAGATTACATCTGGTTTATTTAGCGCCACGAAGCTCATAACTCGTATTACGTCTAAAATCATTTGAATAAGTGTGCGATGCTTCAATAAATATTAGCGTGAAAACAAATCAAGCAGAATTTTAGAAAAATGATAAATCTACCTCGGAAATACGTTTCCTCCCATGGATTCGTAATAGCGCCGATATATATGCTCGCTAGAAACGGCACGTAGACGAAAGACGGATTGCGCGTGCATATTGTTATTACATCGCCTTTTTTTACACCTACTCTCTTTAGCCATAATGCACACTTGACGCTATTCTCTCTCATCTCCTGGAACGTACATTGGTGCCCTGTGTCCGCATTCACCTGCAATCGCATTATTACTAAGTAATGTTGCATGTTTTATACTCTTGTTTATTAAAGAACGCCTTTGCTAACGTTCGTCCGCGTAGGACAAAGTGATTTTTGTTATTAGAAACCGTTACCTGTCCGATTTGATTCGGTCTGGCTTTGAGTGCATTCAAAATTGAGTCTCCAATATTTCGGTTGGAAATCGCCTTTTTTTCGCCGATTAAATGTTTCGCTGTTTCTACTTTAACGTCACAAAAACACTAAAAAGGTATACGATAATGTTAACAGTGATGCTTCTACACATTTTTGCAAATGCGATAGAATGAATCTTATTGCTGGATGTATCATCATATTTTTTATATCCTTAACATGTGTATCATATCTAGTACCTGTTTCTTTCCTTTCGACATATCGATGATCGAGTGTTTCTTTATGCTAAAGACAACGTTGATAATGTTCTTGCTGAGAGCAGACGGTAGCGGCACTGCTTATAACACAACGAATGCTACGAGACTAAAGCCAACGGCACACGATACTATTTTTCTTACTGGATTGCTTACGAGATCCAATAAGGATTCAGAGTTTTAGATCAGGTGACTTAAAGCTAAATCCTGATTGGCTCTCGTAAGCAATCCAGTAGGAAAAGTAGTATCGTGTGCCGTTGGCTTTAGTTTTAAATTTTATGGATACATACTTGTTTACAGTATGTAACCTCACAGCTGAGTTTAATGAAAATATTTGCCTCGGAGAAGCTGTGTCAAAATCAACTAAATCCACTGATCAGCTTCAAACTTTCAGCATTCGATCTTTATTATGTTCTCGCTTTTGTCCTAACCCTCCTCGTATTCAATGCAATATCGGCTACCTAATTTCTTCATTTGTGCACCGAGAAAGAAGTCTTGAAAAATTTATTTATGCCACAAATAAATTTTTTAAGACTTCTCTTCTCAGTGTGTCTATTAATTCAGATTACTCTAGTTTTTTCAATAGTATATGTTGCGAAAAAATCTCTTTTCCGACATTATTACGATATATACGCGACAAACTTAGCGAGCACTTGACGCAACCAAATCGCCCTGAGTCGATTTTTAATACGGAAAATTTATATCGTCAACGACGCCTTGTATTGCGTCGACGCCTATGCCGTTACTTGCGAGACGCAACGTAATATTTTTAAGTGTTGAAAATGGTAAGACACTATTTCTCTAGCAAGGCTTTACTCAAATGACATAAAATTATAATACGGTAATACACCAAAGACAAAAATTCAGTTGCTATGATTTGCCAGTGAGATTTCAAGACCAGTCTCGTTTAATAAGCAAGGATCCTCACTTAATAAGCAAGGCGATTCTTTGTTAAAATAATTGTAAGCAAAAAAAATTATACAAGGTGCTCTAGTATTGAAAACAGATTGATTCGATTTTGAAGATAAAATTTAGAATTTCCAGGAGAGAGTATATAAAAGTTGGATAAAAAGAGAATCGTTGTTTGAGAAAGACGGCATGTCAAATACTATTGGATGTTTCTTGGAAGTATTTAAAAAACGCTCTTATCTTTAAAATTACAATACGGATAGTGCAAGAAGTGGTTTAACAATATATTAAAGATATGAAGCACTATAAGACATTATTTTTTTATCATCTCGAGATGTTTTGCATCATAGAATCTACAAATTCTACGATAGCAGTTGCAGCACTGTACTGTACGAATTGTGTTCCAAGCGGATGACAAATCGGGCGTCGAAATCGGAATGAATTATACCGCGCTTTCACGTGCATCTGATCCCATAGCCGAGAATACATAGCTAACGATGATCGAATTCTTTCTCTCGTTTTTCCACCTACAATACATTCAAAGTGCGTCAATTCGTTTTAACTCTCGAATGCGTTTATAGAATTAATGTATCCCATGTAAAATATATTTGAAAAAATAGACACATATATATATTAACGCACGTACAAAATGTATGTTAAAATACAAATATATCAAAATATATTATATGTAGATATATTGAAGTCCGACAGGACTGAGTAAGTTCATATAAATTATAAGCGAACTTCAAAAAAGGATTTTATTTGCAAAGTGCAGTAGTTTATGCCAAAGTCCATTTGTCGAGAAGTCACATCCATTTCTTGACGAGATCGGAGCTTGACGAAAGTAAGCTCAAGTTTTGATTGTTAAACACGAGTCCAATGTATTCTACATTTATCTACTCTCTAAATTTATAATTTACGACTGTAGAATTATACGCAGAAGAAGGGCATTTACTTGATATTGGTTAGCTGCGCTGCTTATGGCTTATGGCAATCAACCATAAGTTCACCAAGATTTCACGGCCACCTGACCAGTCTGCCGATAAGTCGAAGGAGCCGTGAGGAGGTGCCTAAGCACCAACTAACTAATGGTCGTGGCTTGGCCTGACGTCAGAAATACAAGGGGGTCGAACGGTCGCGCGAGTCAAGACGATACATCAATTACCTGGCTTCGCCACTCGTCACTTTGACCACCACCGCCGTTGCCGTTTCCCGCGAGGAAAACGCGAGAGATGAGATAAAAATCGTACGAAAATTGCCATTAATGCAGCTTAGCCCTTAGAAAAAGAGAAAATGGGAATTTCCCTCGTTAATGCTCTTGGAACTAGCTTCGTAACTTTTAGAATAATTATTATGAAATCCAATGCTTTAGTGTGACTAAAACCTAACAATGAACTTCACCGCTTTTGTTCGCGTTGACTGACGAACAAAAATATCTACGGGAGCTTGGGTCTCCTTTTTTCTCTGCATCTCTCTCTCTCTCTCTCTCTCTCTCTCTCTCTCTCTCTCTCTCTCTCTCTCCCCCCCCCCTCTCTTCCCCCTCTCTCCCTCTCCCTCTCTCTCTGCGACGAATTCATTCGGATGCATCACGGGGATTATATTGTATTTTCGAAGGTTGAATGCCGTAAACTCAAAAGCGCAATATTTCCGTACAAACGGGCGCACGTTTTGAAATTAGCCGAAGATCTTCTGGAACGTGACGTGAAATAATATTCTACGTAGAAAGGAAAGAATGAATCGACAATAAAAAAGAAGGTTCGTCTAAGAATGGTGTAAAAATAATCGCAGAATAGCGATTCCTATTATGTACAAATATTATTTAACTATAATATATTTTATTTGATTAATATTCAATCGTTAACGGCAATATTAATTTGATTACTGTTCATTATCGACAATTCTACTTTAGCTGTCCTATTTATTAATATTAGTATAATGGTGTTTTTTCGAATACAACTAAAAATTTTTTTTATATACACTTTATATACGTGTAACGAGAAAGAGCAAAATAATATTCATTAATTAATATCAAGGAGCGTGTCTTAACAAGAGAGAGGAATTTTAATTTGATAAAATAAAAATGAAAGAAACCTTTAAAATAGAACCAGTTGTTACGTAACACAACGTTGAAGTTGCGATATCTATTGTGCATTGTCTTATTTATTTTATATTTGACAGTGTCGCGTGCGCGCGTTTTGTTTCTATCCCGTATAAATTCACGATCGTGCAACGTAACGTGATCACGCAGATCGTACAGATCGAAATCACAATGAAGCGTGTCTTGAACGCCAGGGGGTTAGCTGCTTCGTTGCGCAATCGATCGATGTAAGTAGCGCGATTTAATCGGTCCGCCGAGGGTTCCGCGATGGAATTTTCCAAAATTCGAGGGAGCGGCCGAATGCCCGGTGGGAATTGCAAATTCCCCGACAACCACTTCGGTTCCGTTACGAGCGGGCGTTTTCGCTCGCCTCCGTTCTCTATGAGCTTCGCTTCGTACATGTGCCACCCTCGTTTTACTGGTGTACGTACACGTGGCTGGGCACGAGAAACGGAATAAAGCCCGTAGCACACACAGAAGATATCTCACTGCACGCTGTTAGTTGCAAGTTGCAGCGCGTGCTATCTTGCATGGCCCGGCGCTAGCTTTGTTTCAAGTTATGTGGATTATTGTGTGTACGGTATTGATTTGTAATCGTCTGTGGAAAATAGCGAGGCAAGAAAAGATTGATTGCCTGCGGCGAAACATCCTAGATACTTGCAAGACTTATGGAAAAAGATATCTGTGGAGTCAACTTTTTCTTACAGAAAAAGCAATAGCGTGCACGCGGTGTTGCGAATAACACTCGGTAAATTAAGCAATCTTTGGTATCCTACGATTATAAAGATTTGAAAATCTGTCCAGC